ATTGGTCGCTAATCTGAGTAATTCTTTGACCAAGCAAGTCCGACCAGTCCGGTCAACAGTTTGACAAAATTTTCGACCAAGTTGCGACCAACGTTGGTCGCTAATTTATTTAAAATCATTATTTTATTATTTTCACCAGTTTAGCGACCAACTTTGGTCGCTTTTCTTGGCAGACCAACTTTGGTCGCTAATGTTTGGTTGCTTTATGCAGGAATTCTAGTAGTGAATCTTCGTTACGTTTATCATAACCTGCAGTGAAAACACAGTTGACGATCTACTTAAAATACAAACCTAAGGGAAGAAGCAAAAGAAAACAAAGGTCACAAAGCAAAGCATAAAGATAAACCAATTGAATATTCATTAACATCAGGATGTTCCTAAATCTTTAGACAAATGTATCCATGAATAGAATAAAAGAATCTTCACAAGGTAGGGGTAAAGTCTGCGTACACACTATCCTCCCCAGACCGCACGGTGTGGGATATTACTGGGTATGTTGTTGTTTTGTTGTAGAATAAAAGAAATAGTTGTTACTGACCTAGTTAATGGCATGAGTAACCTACTTCTTTAAATTATTTTTGAAAATGCCCAGCAAAATTAACTTGTGCTCCCAAAAAAAAAAAAAATGGGGAGAGACAAAGATAGATAGCCTATGTATGTGTGTGGGGTAGCTTATAACTCAAATTAAAAATTGGTACCTTTGTTTCATGCCCTGAAAAAATGACAGCCCCAACAATGTACTGTGTGTTTCTTAGACTGCAGCCCTGTATAAAATAGAGGTAATATCAAGAAGGAAAATGCAAGTCATATTCAACAAGTATACTTTCTCCGCATCAGAGAAGAAGGATAGCAAACTGCAGAGAAACTCCAAGTTTAATGAAAAGAGAAGGACTCAGGTTATCTTAACATGAACTAGTAATAAGAGTCAATAAACCATAACTTTCCATCTACATAATATCGTATGAACCACAGACAGAGAGAGGGAGAGAGAAACAAACAAACAAAAGATGAAGAAAAAACACACGGGAAAAGACTAAGTACCCTTAATAGAAGTTGATTTGGACCGAGTGGCAAGGTTTGTTTTTGAATTATCAGATTGCCAGCGAAAGTGTATAATGAGTTATTAGGTTGCTCACACTGTACTTCTCCCGGAAAGATCTCTTTAGCAGTAGTACAGCTTTGAATTTTGCTGTACTCGTCTAGACCTAGTCCACACACAAGCTATTTCTTGGCCTTAGCATTCTTTTCCCACTTCTTCAAATCTTCAGCAGTACAGTCAGCTCTAGTCTTTGGCACATCCTCTTTTTCAGCATTCTTCTTAGTAGTAGCCAGGGGACCATCAGTAGCAATGTCCCAAAGTTCACCATTGTACCTACATTCGCCAGAGGATATGTGTTTGAGGGTCACTTATCCACACACGTAATATTTAATATTAGGCCTTTTATTTATCCACCACTTGGCCACGTCACTATCCTTTCAGGCTATAACCAATTAACGTAAGTCCAAATTCCAACATTTAATACAAATAATTATCAGTTTCCACTACCATTTCGCTTTGCAAACACACGGGGCAAGTTCTAGACATCAAATGCAATGCATAGAATAATACAAAACCTCACACCCACATGGCACATAACTCACTCAAGATTGGATTATCAAGAAACTCGAGTCAAAGAAGTTAAGCAAAGTTAATATCATAAAATTTAAGGCAGTCATACAAGAGTCAAAAATCGAGCCTAAGCGTCACAACTAAAGCACTCAATATTCTCAAGGCACAACAAAGTCAAGAGGTATTGCTTCAATTCAAATCATAGCATAAGGTTTCCTACTTCTAACAAAAATAAAGCTAACTACACCCCGTTCAAACAAAACCCTTGGAAAAGAACCGCGGCACAAAGAAAAACCAAGGGGGGATTAATACACTAACTACAAAAGAAAATCTTTTTGTCTTTTTTTCTTTCGACTTAATTTCCTCAAGAAACCCGTCGAATAATATCCATCGTCGGGAAAAGACAAAAAATTTAATTTTTTTATGGATTTTCAATACTTTTCTATCAAATACAACTAACCAAAAAAAAACTAACCAACTTAATATACATACCACATACATACAAACATATCCCCCACCCCATATTATAAGTTGTGGCATGTCCCCATGACATACAATTGAAAAGCATAAGGTAGAGAAAACTTCCTTGAATCTCTAATCGGGGTCTGAGTCGAAGTCGAGTTCCATTCCACGCGCCCGAACCAATGCACACATTCACGCAGACATCTTCTTCTCTGCCTTTTTGGGGTACACCTCACACTTATCTTTTTCACTAGTTGCAGCCTTCTCTTTGACGCCCTTCACTTTCCACTCTATACTTGCAGCTGGCTTCTCTTTTTTAAGTCCAGTTGTTACATTCATCTCAAACATCACCGTCTCCTCACCTACTCTAAGCATGAGTTTTCTATCATGTATATCCAGTATAGCTCTACCCATTGCTAAAAATGGTCTTCCTAGGATGAGGGGGACCTCCTTGTTCTCCTCCATATTCACCACTATGAAATCTACAAGAAATAGGAACTTATCCACCCACACCAAAACATTTTCTACTAGCCCCTCGGGTGTTATAGTCGTTTGGTCTGCCAGTTGCAAAGATATTATCACCGACCTTATTTCTCTAATCTCCTTCTCCAGTTTACTGTAAATAGACAATGGCATTAGATTATTGAGGATCCTGAATCACATAAAGATTTATCAAAGTTAAGAGTGCCTAAAGAGCAAGGTATATGTCACGACCCTAGTTCACCAACCGAGAACATGTCATGACGGCACCTGGTCCCCATGACCAGGTAAGCCTAACATTTGCGGAAATATAATAATTGCGGAAAAATAGAGAAAATCAAATGAAATATCTAAAGAAAACTGTACTGAATGCCGCTTGGCAAGTACAACTCAATATCACAAGTCTAAAACAATTCCCAAAACCCGGAAACTCACGGGCAACACAGGCTACAGCAGCATATAGTAAAGGTTCCAAACTCCAGAATTTCTAACAATCGAAGAAGGAAAACTAAGTACTAAAGATAGAGTAAGAGGGAGACTCGTCGGTCTGCGGACGCAGCAGATCTACCTCGAAGTCTCCGTAGTCCTCCTGCCTCAATGATAGTGCGCCTGAGTGGAGGTACCTGAATGATCAGCACATGAAAAACATGCGCAGGAAGGGCATGAGTACACCACAGCGGTACTTAGTAAGTGCCAAGCCTAACCTCGGTTGGGTAGTGATGAGGAAGGTCAGGGCCCTACTGAGACAAAATATAATAATAATAATAATAATTTAACAGTATAAAAATCTGACAGATATAATAAGTACAACAGTGAGATAAGACAAGTCAACGAGGCTATAACAACTACACGAGTACAGAATAAACACAGAGTAAACACAGCTCAATACTAATGATAACAATGAGGGTCTCCCAGGATACCGTCCTGTAGCCCCTTTTTTCTCAACTGTCCAGTGGATCTCCCGGGATACCGTCCCGTAGTCCATCATATGTGTACATCCGAAGGATCTCCTGGGATACCGCCCCGTAGTCCAACCATCAATGTGCAGGGGGATCTATCGGGAATCGAACCCGCAGTCCCAAAGTAAAAGTGCAGGGGGATCTATCGGGAATCTAACCCGCAATCCCAAAGTAAAAGTGCAGGGGGATCTATCGCGAATCTAACCCGCAGTCCCAAAGTAAAAGTGCAGGGGGATCTATCGGGAATCGAACCCGCAGTCCCAAAGTAAACAAACAAGGGGGTAGCTACCGGAATCCCACATCCGTAGTCCCAATGTAAATGCGCAATCACAACCAGAAGGTACACGGAAACGAAGTACAAAAGACAAGCAACAGGTAGTACTGGCCTAGCAAGCTTCACGTAGTACAGTCAAGGCAACTTAAGCAATTAGGCAAGTTAAATAAACTAAGCATGCTTTCCTAATCTAGCACAGGTTATAATTGCAAGTAGAATAAAGCAAATATGAAAGGAACTCAATCTCAATATCTTAAGAAAACCGGATTTTCAACAATTGGCTCAAGTACGCGCTCTTCACCTTGCGTACAAGGCACTCAAATCCACAAATAACAAATCCTAAGGGGAAAGGTCCCCCAGACAAGGTTAGACAAGCCACTTACCTCGAACCGGCTCAATATCAATAGAAACCACGCCTTTGCCACGAGTATCCGACTCCAAATGGCCCAAATCTATTCAATTCAATTACATATCGTAAATAATATTGCAAACAACTGATTCCGCTAATAAATTTATAGCTAGGACGCAAAAATAGGTAAAATGACCAAAACGCCCCTCAGGCCAACATCTCGGAATTGAATAATTTTGACATTTTCAGAACCCTCGTACTCTCACGAGTCTAACCATATAAAAATCTCCCAAATCGGAGGTCAATTGCCCACTCAAAACTCAATAATTAGGTCTATGAAGTTTCATCCAATTTTCCCCAATGTTGACCTTGAATTCGAATTCTAATGGTGGATTTAACTATATATTGATGGAATACAACTAAATAGGGTCAAGAAAACATTACACAGTGATTTTCTCTTCAAAATCCACCCAAAATCGCCTTCTCCCGAGCTCCCAATTGTTTTTTCTAACTTTTGAATTAACCCTTGAATTATCCCCTTTTCAAAACAGTCATTTCCGCTTCTGCGGACCACGAGCCGCTTCTGCGGTTTTTCACTTATGGCCAGACTCCGCTTTTGCGGTAGAAATCCCGCTTCTGCGGTCCAGCTTATGCGGAGGAAGGGACCGCTTCTGCGGTCTTGCGGAGATGCCTGGAATCGCTTCTGCGATGAAGAAGCCGCTTCTGCGGCTCCGCTTCTGCGGCTTGGGAACCGCAGAAGCGGAAATACCAGAAGACTCAAAATCTGCTGCTGCCCACTTTAGAATTTCTTCCCATCGACCATTCGAAATCATCCTGAGGCCCCCGGGACCTCAACCAAAAGCACCAATACCACCTAATACCTTATTCAAACTTGTACCAATCCTTAAAACACCTAAAACAACACCGGAAACCCTATTAAATCAAAGATTCAAGCCTAAGAACTACAAGTTTCTTCCAAATACGCTTTTGATCAAAAACCCTAACCAAAACACGTTCGAATGACCTGAAATTTTGCACACACATCCCAAATGACATGACGGAGCTATTAAAACTTCCGGAATTCCAATCCGACCCTCGGATCAAAAACTCACTATCGAACCGGAAACTTCAAAAATTCAAACTTCGGCATTTCAAGCCTAAATGAGCTACGAGCTCCCAAAATACATTCCCAACACGCTCCCAACCCCAAAATCACCTAACAGAGCTAACAGAACCATCAGATTTCCATTCTGAGGTCGTCTTCATACTGTTCCGACTACGGACCACTTTTCAACACTTAAGCTCTCATTAAGGGACTAAGTGTCCCAAAACTTTCCAAAACTCAACACCGAACATCCCGGCAAACCAAAATTGCAGAAATGAACTTAGGGGAAGCAGTTAATGGGGGATCGGGGCGTAAATTCCAAAAACGGCCGGCCGGGTCGTTACATCCTCCTACACTTAAACATTCGTTCGTCCTCGAACGAGCATAGAGAACATACCTGAAGTAGTGAAAAGATGAGGGTACTGGCTGCGGATATCCTGCTCGGTCTCCCAAGTCGCCTCCTCTGCCGGCTGACCCCGCCACTGAACCTTTACTGAAGCTATGTTCTTTGACCTCAACTTTCTGATCTGCCTGTCCAAAATAGCCACTGGCTCCTCAACATAGAATAGATCCTTGTCCAACTGGACTGAACTGAAATCCAACACGTGCGACGGATCACCGTGATACCTCCGGAGCATCGAAACATGAAATACCGGATGAACTCCGGCCAAGCTGGGAGGTAACGCAAGCTCATAGGCAACCTCCCCAACTCGCCTCAAGATCTCAGAAGGGCTAATAAACCTCGGACTCAGCTTCCCTTTCTTTCCAAACCTCATGACGCCCTTCATAGGCGAGACCCGAAGCAGAACCCGCTCACCAACCATATATGAAGCATCACGAACCTTCCTGTCCGCGTAACTCTTCTGTCTAGACTGGGCTGTATGGAGTCTGTCCTGAATCACCTTGACCTTCTCCAATGCATCCTGAACCATCTCTGTACCCAATAGCCTGGCCTCACCAGGCTCAAACCAACCCACCGGAGATCTACATTTCCTGCCATATAAAGCCTCAAACGGCGCTATCTGAATGCTGGACTGATAACTGTCGTCATAAGCAAACTCCGCCAATGGCAAGAAATGATCCCAAGACCCTCCAAACTCAATCACGTACGCACGGAGCATGTCCTCAAGAATCTGGATAGTGCGCTCGGACTGTCCATCCGTCTGGGGGTGAAATGTTGTGCTCAACTCCACCCGAGTGCCTAACTCCTGCTGCACAGCTCTCCTGAACCACGATGTAAACTGAGTACCTCTGTCCGAAATGATAAAAACTGGAATACCATGTAGACGGACGATCTCCCTGATATAAATCTCCGCCAATCGCTCTGATGAATAAGTGGTACACACAGGAATGAAATGAGCGGACTTGGTCAGCCGGTCCACAATAACCCAAATGGAATCAAACTTCTTCAAGGTCCGTGGAAGTCCAGATACAAAATCCATGGTGATGCGCTCCCATTTCCACTCTGGAATCTCTATCTACTTGAGCAACCCACCCGGGCGCTGGTGCTCATACTTCACCTGCTGGCAGTTGAGGCATCTAGACACATAACCAACTATATCCTTCTTCATTCGCCTCCACCAATAGTGCTGCCTCAGGTCCTGATACATCTACGCGGCACCCGGATGGATGGAATACTGCGAACTATGGGCCTCTGCTAGAATCAACTCTCGAAGACCATCAACATTGGGCACTCAAATCCGGCCCTGCATCCTCATTACTCCATCATATCCAATGGACACATCTCTAGCATCCCCACGCTGGACCCTGTCCTGAAGGACAAGCAAATAAGGGTCATCATACTGCCGCTCCCTGATACGGTCAAATAGGGAAGACCGGGAAACCACACAGGCTAGAACCCGACTGGGCTCCGAAAGGTCCAATCTCACAAACTAGCTGGCTAAGACCTGAACATCCATCGCCATAGGTCTCTCTGAGGCTGGTAAATATGCCAAACTCCCTAAACTCTCCGCCCAGCGACTCAAGGCATCGGCTACCACATTGGCCTTGCCCGGGTGATAAAGAATAGTAATATCATAATCCTTTAACAACCCTAACCATCTCCTCTGACGCATATTCAGGCCCTTCTGCTTAAGCAAGTGCTGCAAACTCCGATGATCAGTATAGATCTCACAAGGCACACCATACATGTAATGACGCCAAATCTTCAAGGCATAAACAATGGCAGCTAACTCAAGGTCGTGGACAGGGTAATTCTTTTCATGTACCTTCAATTGTCTGGACGCGTAGGCAATCACCCTACCGTCCTGCATCAACACTGCTCCAAGGACAACTCTCGAGGCGTCACAATAGACAGTATAAGACCCCGAACCGGTAGGCAACATCAAGATAGGGGCTGTAGTCAAAACTGTCTTGAGCTTCTGAAAGCTCGCCTCATACTCCTCTGTCCGCTGAAATGGGGCACCCTTCTGGGTCAATCTAGTCATAGGGGCAGCAATTGATGAAAATCCCTCCACAAAACGAC